TTCACCAAAATCTTTATTCCTAGCATTTATGAAGGAAATAGAGAGTCTCTTGGAGATGCTATTAGGTCTTGTTTGGATGCATGTGTATAACTTATTTTAATTTCACTCCAATAACACTCAACACATGTGAATTGAGATGAATATATCCACATCTAAACATAGCCTTAATGAGTTTTACGCCACCCGACCAAATGGTTCAAATAAAGCAAAACCTGCATTCCTAATTATGACGTCAAACAAAACATCCATCTCAATTTGTTATTTTCAGTGACTTCGTCGAAATGAGAAGGAAAACACACACGCAAACACACGATAACAATGCGGAAGAGCAAAATGCCCATCTTGCTCGTCCGGTTGGATTTTTTTTTAAATTTTAACCCTTTTTTTAATATAATTTTAAATTTAACACTGTCGGTTTTTTTAAAACTAACACTTTTGGCCGCGTCTATTGCCCTGGCGTGGCCAAATACCTGTGCCGCGCCATGCATGGTGGCGCGGCAGAGGGCTGACGTGGCGAGGGCCGGCCTGGGGGACCGCTGACGTGGCAGCTCCTGCCGCGCCACCTACCTTGGCGCGGCAGTGCCGCGCCCTGATCCGTGGTGCGGCAGGACCATATATATACCGCGTGCGAGCCCGCCCGTCCGCACGCACCCTGCCCTGCCCGCCCGCCCGAACGCCGCCGCCGCCAGCCGCACGCGCCCCACCGCCAGCGCCCTGCCAGCGGCCGCCCTGCCACGCCGCGCCCGCGCCCGCCCGGCCTCGCCCCGCCCGCGCCCGCCCGACCCGGCCTCGGCCGCTCGCCCACGCCGCGCCCGTCCGCTCCCCCCGCGCAGCGCCCTAGCCGGCCGCGCCACGAACGCCGGCGCGTCAAGGCCGTCCGCTCCTAAGGTACCTCCGTCTCGATTTCATATTTTTATTATTATGTAGTATAGTTAGTATTTTTTGTATTCATAAGGTACCCCACGTGCCCTCGCAATCCTCGAGCGGTAGAACGACTATTTTCATTTTTTTTCTAGGAGCATCTAGGGGCATCGAGGCTATTTTCATTGAGTATTAGTGTCTTTGCGATATCTTAGAATGACTATTGTTATGTGACGGAGGAAGTACCTTTCGTAATAGGTACTATTATATAATAGGTAATATTACATTAAGCATGGAGTATACTTTCGTAATAAACTTATTATGAGATACAAATATTGATACCGTTTTTTTAGTTTTGATCAAACTTAAACTTATTTGACTACTTGAGAAGTCAGATGTGTATTTATGTTGAGACGGAGGGATTACTTGTAATTTGGAACCAAACTTTTATATGGATTGATTATGTATTTATTATCTAGTATATTTAGGATTTTGGGTTTAGGGATTTAGGCTAGTTAGGTTAGTGAATTTGTTTGTGATTTGTTTGTGAACTTACTAATGTTAACTTGAATTTTGTTAATTTGAATACTCTAACGTTTTGTTTATCAATTTGTAAAAGGATGGCCCCTCCCACGCAGCACCCGTTGTACCATATTCTTGAGGTGGAGTACGACGACCAGCACCGAGGACACATCTTGAGTGACAACGACGCAGAGGTGTCCTTGCCTCCTTTGAGGCCCCGCACGCACACCAGGACGCATCAGTGGGACGAGCGTTATACGCCGTACATACGGCGTGCCGGCTTCCTCGAGCTTATCCGTGTTGTGAACCATGGTCTTCCGCCTCTTGACCCAGCACTACTTACTACAGCTGTAGACAGGTGCAAGTGCATTATTTGTATGTAAACTTTCTTGTAATAAATTTGAGGCAAGTAACAGTCGTTCTATTCTTATATAAGGTGGAGGCCTGAGACCCACACGTTTCACCTACCTTGTAGCGAGATGACCATGACGTTGCAGGATGTGAAGGCTATTTTAGGCCTTCGGTTGGGGGGACTTCCAGTGACAAGGATAGTTGACAACGATCACTAGAGGGAGCTGGTGGCTCAGTTTACTGGCTTTCTTCCACCGGACGACGATGCTTCCAAGAAAAATAAGTGAGTAATTTTAAGCCTATTTAATACTTGCATTGTTTTACAACTGGCATCGGGTCTCATTTTCTTTGATCAATTACAGGAAAACTTTCGGTGTTTCGTCGTCCTGGATCATAGAGCGCTTTGATTACTTGGACCCACAAGCTGAGAAGGCTCAGATCGACAGGTTCGCTCGAGTGTGGCTCTGGCACTTTCTTTGTGCTTTCCTCTTTCCAGACGCCTCGGGTAACACCATCAGCTGGATCTTCCTTGACATACTTCGCCAGCCGTGGGAGAACATAGCGGGGTACAGCTGGGGCAGCGCAGTCCTGGCATGGGCGTATCGACAGCTATGCGTTGCCTGTCGTCGCACCTCAGGACATGCGAACCTTGGGGGTTGCTCGTACCTACTCCAAGTTTGGTGTTGGGAACGATTGCCCGTTGGGAGGCCCCTTAATAATGGTTTACCAATAAGTACTTCGGTTCATTATATTCTTCCAGGCAGTTAGATATGATGAGATTATTTGTTGCTAATTCATTATCGTGTTCAATGCAGCGATGGAACGGGCATGATACACTCCCTACAGCTCTGTATATCTGGACGGAAGCACAGTTAGTTAGAGGGAATGCGTGGCGCAAGTACAGGGAGTACACGGATGGTCTCGACGTCCTGACACAACATCAGGTTAGGCTCTCTATACTATCGTACCAGTGTCTGCTTCGATGTACAGTATATTACAACCTAACACAATTACGAAATTTCAGGTGTTTTGGTGTCCTTGGGATTCTACGGAGCTCCAGGGCTACCTGAGTCCTGTCACTAGGGACGAGTCACACGAGTATCGCTGTGACATCCCTCTTATTTTCTTCCATGTGGTCGAGATTCATTTGCCCATCCGGGTCTGCAGACAGTTTGGAAGAATAACAACCTGCCCACCATCGCTTTACTCCACCAACCAAGAATTACACGGGCGCGTTATTGATTAATAACAATGCTATAATTCAGAGGTGTGTTTGGTACAACTAACATCGTTTTGTTGCAGGTTTGACCGCAGGAAGAGGTACAAGACCAGGGATTGGCGCGTGACACACAGCCCGTACATCCATTTGTGGCAGACCAGGGTACCACATGCGGTCCTTGCGGGTCCTCCACACGACCAGCACACATTCGACGAGTACCTGCGGTGGCTTCATAGGTCTACGAGAACACATGTCAAGCCCCCGTACACTGACGTGGCGATTGACGAGGACTCAGAGGAAGATGTCATCGAAGATGTGTACGACGTTACCACTAGGGAGGACACAGCTACAGAGAGCCCGCTTCAAAGATACGTGGTAAGATACTTAAATGGTACAATTTGTTATCCTTTTGGTTTTAAGTATGTGTACTAAAACTGTCCAATCGCGTTTCTGTACCTAGGCGACACAATTGTCAAGGCTGTCCAACGAAGCAGCGTTCCGGCTTCACGAGTCTAGAGGGCAGGGGCCAGGCGTTATCGCGGCTTTTGTGGAGGTAAACATAAACTTGTCCATTTCGAAAATATTTCTTTAGTGTATATGCGTTTGTGTAATGAACTAACTTTAACATCTATTTATGCAGAAGGTGAAGAAGAGCTGCAGGAAGCTAGCTCAGAAGCTGATCTGCATAGACACTCCTTATGAGGAACCGCCACTCCTGGCGCGGTCGGGTGGCACGTCTTCAGCCTCTTTGAGGACACCAGCCGGCTCTTCTCAGCCGATGACAGGTACCACTTCCGCGGTGCGTACACCACCACATCATAGCGCTGGGAAGGACCCTGCAATCGAGGACGAGGAGGAGGACGATGACGACGACGACGAACCCCCGGGCTTCCGCGGACAACACGACCAGTGGGACGAATGGCCGCAGGACGAGATCAGCATGTCTCAGCTAGATGGTGCCCCGCTTGGCACCCAAGGAGCTTCATAGGTACTAACAAAGATAGTTTGTTTCAATACGTAGGTTCCATGAACTAACGATCATAAGTAATCGTGCGTATCATATACCTGCAGGGTACGAGCTGTACGCACCGTCAACGCGACCATACCGACGTTGGTTACACTCCCAATGTGTTCTCAACAAATCCGAAGAGACAGAGGCGTCCGAGGGATCCTTACACTCCTGGGTCTTAATTTGTTAGGTCAAACGAATATTGTCATCCGAAACTTGCGTAGTTATTTGGTTATGTTATCTCAAATTTATGTCAAAACAATGAATATGTTACGTGACAGCTTGTCAACTTGCTTCTTATTCGTTTCTTTGAGTCGCGGCAGCACTGCAGACGAGATTAAGTACCAACTAGTTCGGGAACCGACAATTCCGGTGACAATTTTTCGTAATCGATTAGTTTAAATGGTGCGTAACCGTATTATGAAAGACGAAAAACTTATCATTGGCTTATTAAATTCTTTATTCGGCCGTGAAAAAAACTCAACAAAATACGTGCGCGACGCATTTCAATTCAACCATCCGGTACTCACTGCGGCGGCAGCGCAGCGTGACCGGGGTGTGGCTGCGTGGGCAAGATATATATGGTCTCCGCCGTCACGTATCGTGGCGCTGCATCGCCGCCGCTTAAGGTTTAATGGCAGAGTCGCCACGTCAACGGTCCCCCAAGCCGGCCCTCGTCACGTCAGTCCTCTACCGCGCCACCATGCATGGCGCGGCACAGGCATTTTGCCGCGCCAGAGCTTCTATTGCGCTGACGGGGCAAAAAATGTTAGTTTTTTTTAAAAAAATTGACAATATTAGATTTAAAATTATATTAAAAAAAGGTTAAAATTAAAAGAAAATTCTCCGGTTGCGCGATGACCCATAGGACCGACCATACATCCACACCCTCGGCGATTCCGACTCCGACGGTACAGAAAATCGCCGCGTGGTCGGTCCATCTGGGGCGACCTTGACTTCCCCTCTCCAACCTCCTCAGAACCCAGCCAATCCGCTCATCCGCTGATCTCAACTGCCGGGCACTCCGATCCGGCGACGATGGAGGGGAACGCCGACGCCTCTTCGACGGCGCCGCTGGCCTGGCACGACTTCCTCGAGCGCATGCGCCAGCCCTCCGCCGCCGAGTTCGTCAAGTCCATTAAAAGGTCAGCTCTAGCCCCCGCGCCCACTCCCCCTCAATCCCATGGTGAAATTAGGTTCATGTGAGATTCAGTTCGTGGGTGACGAGATCCGAGGCGAAGCATGTTGCGATTGGTTGAGCTCTAGTGGCCTGTGTAGCCGAAGTAGCGGGAGGAGGGAAGTAGGAATTAGAGGCACGAATGGGATTTCATTGCCGTGCCCTTCGAAATGTAAGCCACCGGTGTTTGCGAGCTTGTAGTTTCAGTAGGTTTGTTTTTGCAGAGCTTAACCTAGGTTTGCTATTTGGTTGGGCTGGGGCTGGCTGGCTGGCTGGGCTGGCCAGCCCCCTCACATGGACACTATTCACATGAACCAGCCAGCGGTACTTCTCTCTCACATAAACGAACCAGCAACGATACGAACCAGCCAACCGAACAGGCGGTATGGGTTCGAGATGGATCCACAGGTCATTCCTTTTTGCGCCACTTCTGGATTTCAGGCTTAGGTTACTTTGACGGATGCCTTTCAAGCTGCACTATGATAGAGACATTGCACAATGCGAGATAGTTTTGCATTGAGGTTTATCATATGTACCATACCGCAAACTTGATTGATTGTGTGTATGCTTTAGCATATGTAGATGATGCCAGAATTGGTAGAAAATAATGGAGTACTTCCGTCGGGCTTAACGCAGTGAGTTTAATTTTTGATTTCATGATAACTATCTGTTTCCTGTTTAGGGTCAGAGTATGGCTTGGATTTCCCAATAGTGCCTGGTACCAAACCTAGGTTGACTTGAGCTGTGGCATAGTCACAATAGCTGAGTATATGTTACTAATTGATCTTATGTTACTAATGGGGCGAGAAGCCCAGAGTTGTAAATAAATGTTTCCTGAACTAATCGAATTTTCCAAATGCAGCTGTATGCAGTGGAGATGCCTCATTTTCTTACTAGACTTAGTAGCTATTAATATTTGACATTTATGTAGGTCATTTTTCAAAATGTTTGAAATTGACTTAGTTATGTTTCATGCATACAGCTTTATTGTGACATTCTCAAACAGAGCTCCTGATCCAGAGAAAGATAGTGCTGCTGTCCAGGAGTTCCTGGAAAACATGGAAGGGGCATTCAGAGCCCACACTCCTTGGGCTGGCAGTTCAGAGGAAGAACTAGAGAGTGCTGGTGAGGTAATTTCTTTATTCTGCACTCTGCACTGCTATTAATGTGGCTCAATAATTTTGTTCGTACGGATGCCTGACTCAGAAATAAAGATGAGCTAACTCATGTTCAGCACTGAGCAACCACACCAAGCAGACTGAGATTCAAATACCAGACGAATAACGCTCACACTGCAGGGCTAGAACTAAACATCTTTTTAGTTTCCAGTGACATTATTTCAGCCTTTTGAAACCCATCAATAGTCGGTGTTCTTTACTTGTCTCTTTCATCTGTCAGCAGCTGAGTCTGCAGGCTGTTTTTCTACAGTTGCATCTTTCACAGGTTTCCAGGATGTTGTTGAGGAGTCACATCATGGTTATTTTCCACAACAGTGCTGACGTCTTCCTTCATCTCTTAGGCCTTGTTTGGATGTTGTCGGATTCACCTCAATCCACATGTGTTAGGGTTGATTGAGGTGGAATTTAGTTTAAGTTCCTCTCCAATCCACCCCAACACATGTGGGCTGATGCGAATCCGACTACATCCAAACAAGGCCTTAGGAGTTTAGAACCACACATGCTGGTAAACATTGGCTTACCCAGACAAAGTAATGTTAAAAATAGATTGTATCGTAAACAGCATTAAAACACAGGGTTACCGTGTTCCGAACTGCTGTAGCAACTCAGAACAGAAGCAAAGTAGTTTCAGATTTATTACAAAAGTAGCATATAGGATATCCTGCCATCTTCTTTTGGTCATCCTTAGTTGAAACATCACTGTTACCAAATACCATTCAACTATAGAAATGTCTTCTTTGAATGAAATCTTGTTGCTAATCCACTACAAGTATCTGTTGAAATATTTGTAAACGTATATTTGTGAGAATTATTTGCTAGATACCCACTCAATTGGGACTTATTCTTTTCTTCGGATATCACAATACCTAATACAAAGACGTATTCTGTCTTGTTGGGTACAAGATGACTTTAAATGTTCCCAGCATCAAACATGTCGATATTGGATTTGGTTTCATTGCATATTGTTAGAGCTCTTAATTAGTTTTCTTGCCCCTTCATCTTAATTTCACTTCATCTTGGTGGACATATTATTGAGTAGTTTCTCTTCTATTTATTTAAATGTGATTACTCTTTATGATCATTGCTAATTTATAATTCCCTGTCCAATAAAATGGAATTTGATGTCAAAACTTCACTAATTTACAATAGTCATGCTGCCCCTTTCTTCGATTAAGACTAGCAGTGGTAAATAATACTGCCAAGTACTAATCGATTTTCTACTAATAGTAATACCGTTGTTCTATTCATACAAGCAAAAAAAAGGGTATTAGTCAACTGAAACTTAAATGCTGTATCATTTTATTACTAATCGTTTAAAGCATTATGCAAAAAAAAAGGGTATTAGTCATTCTAGAATTTACTTACTAATAGTTTATCATTTTATTATGCTGTATACTGACTAATAGTTTACCATTTTATTATGCTGTATAGTGTATACTGACTAAGATTTTATCATTTTATTATGCTGTATACCAGATAATAGTTCTATGTGCTGGAATTTGACAACATTTGACTTCTCTTGTAGGGACTTGAGAAATATGTTATGACAAAGCTGTTTAATCGGGTATTTGCTTCAGTCCCAGAAGATGTGAAGAGTGATGAAGAACTTTTTGAGAAAATGTCTTTGCTACAGCAATTTATAAGGCCTGAAAACTTGGATATAAAACCAGAGTACCAGAATGAAACATCCTGGCTGGTATGAAAATTAACTTCCCTTGTTTTTGGGGCATTTTATTCGCTGGATGTATATCCCTGGCAAGCTGCACACATGATAAAGTTTCTGGCAGAAACTGAACTAGGATAGCGCTGTACTTGTGTCTTGGGTTGGGTTGCCTGCTGGACCTTTCTATGTAATATATGTCTATACTCTACACACTACTATTTGTTAATTTGTATGTCATTCCATTCACATATTACACTTCCATTGTGAACTTTTGCTGTTCAATTTCTTAGCACTGCCAGCCACTCAGCTATCCACTCAAGTAGTAGTTAAGGACACATTTAGTTTTGAAGGAAATGTGAACTTCTATGATTCATTGTCAGTGGATCTGCTGATCTTCAAATTAGACCACTGGCCAAGCCATTTATTTAGGTCCAAGCCATGTATTTAGATAGACCTCATAACAGCTGTTCATTCTTCATATAGGTGTGACTAATTGATACTTGTTCTTGTTTTTGGTATAGCTCGCACAGAAGGAGCTGCAGAAAATAAACATGTATAAAGCTCCAAGGGATAAGCTTGCCTGCATTCTGAACTGCTGTAAAGTTATAAATAACTTACTTCTAAATGCTTCAATTGTGTCCAATGAAAACCCCCCTGGAGCTGACGAATTTCTTCCAGTCCTTATCTATGTCACCATAAAGGTATGGCTAGCCTTTGCAAAAGAAGTATCTGCTGTCAGTAGTACTTTTTATATTAAGTTCCCCATTGAAGGTCAACCCCATTGACATGCAAGGACAAAGTTTCAATGTGCTGGTGTCAGTTTGGTTGATTTGACTTAGCTTTTATATATGTTGGAAAAATATCAGCGAAGTGTCTGATGAAATCTGATGCATTGGACATGTCTCTTGTGACTTGTGAGGTGTCCTTAAGTGTGTTGGACTGTCAGTGCACGGTGCATCCTTGCTTTGTTCCTCATTTCCTTTTCCCTCGAGCACTATGGCTGTAGCTATCTACTTGGATACATCCTTTGTACATATGGACTCAATAGTGAGCTAGTGTTATGGTTCCGTTGTTTCAGAGTAATAACTTTTAGTCAGGATCTGCTTGAGTTTTGCTTACAAGAATGATTATACTTCCAATAGCAGACTAACTGTGTATTTCTCAGGACCTTGAAAAAATTCAAGAATAGAACCGCTGGACTAACATTGTAGGAACATAATAATGAGAAACATCGTGCTGAACTGATCAATAAGGACTTCGAGTTGGAGCATCTTGTATAGGTGTCAATATTGTTCAGTCAATCACACATAACCAGTAGGTGGTCTTAAATAAGTTATTGCATTTTGCCCTTCTGCAATAGTCTCACTGAGCACTAGAAAATGTATTGCGGTTATCCTCTAACAGTAATTGAAAATTTTGCCCTTGTGGCCTGAGTAGCTTTAATAGTTTTTATTTCAAATCTAGACAATAATGTCAGGATCCTTTTGTCGTTTGCCTCAATATTATTCTGTTAATCATTTTTTTGCAGTTCACATAACAGTCAGGATTGTTGTAATAATCAAGCACATGTTCTTAGTGCAGGCTAATCCTCCGCAGCTCCACTCAAATCTGTTGTACATACAAAGATATAGACGGCAAACACGATTGGTGTCAGAGGCTCAATACTTTTTTACAAACATATTGTCTGCTGAGTCTTTCATATGGAACATTGATGGGGAATCATTATCCATGAATGAACTAGATTTTCAAAGGAAGATGGATTCGGCAAGGGAACGCTTGTTGGGATTATCAGCTGACTCAGAAAACCAGGATAGTCAAGCCAATCCTGATGTCCAAGATCGGAAATCACAAAATCTTAAAGCTAACAGGAATTCTGATGCCAGCTTATCTTTGAAAGATCACGCCCAAGGTTCAGGACAGGATATGAGAAGGGACAGTGATGTGACTGTGAGTGGTAAACATGTTGAGCAGGTGCAATCTGTTTCTGATTTAGAGAAGAAAGGAGCAGGGGAACTCCGCAATGAAGATGACTTGAACAAAAAATCCAGGAGTACCCGTTCCTGTTTGCCCGTGCTGGTGATCTGACTATTGCTGATGTAGAAAGCCTTTTGAATTCGTACAAGCAACTAGTACTTCGGTATGTAGCACTTGCACAAGGTATGGGTGTCAGCCCTGAAACCACTCTTGCTCAGAGCGGGCAGACATCTGATCTTGTAGTATCTGAGGAGCCAGAAAATTTGAATAGCGTGGTAAATGACAATGAGAACAGTGAAAGAAATAGTAAAAAAGTTGATGATGTTATAAGCGAAAACCATCATTCAGAAGCGGTTGACACAGAAGCATCTGAACAAATGACCCTGAAAACTGCTGTTGATTCCAGTGATGATCTGAAGGCATTGCATCAGCCTGAGAATGAATGACCTGCTGGTCAAGCCAAGATGAAGTGGCGATACACGGCGGATGTACTCTGAAGTTTGGACTTATACCTAAAGACGACAATGATCACAAAACAGAGTGCACATTTCCCCTAAGCCATATGCAGCAGCTCCTCGAGCTGCAAATGTGTATGCTGGAGGCTTGAACGTCAACATAGTGGAAGATTAATGCATTCTGCTGAAGCTGTTCTTAGATCCAAATGCTCATTGCATTGTAGTTCTTGGGCTCTTGGCTCTGTTCTAATTTCATTTTGTGGTGAACACACCTTTTCGTGTTCTTATGCTTCTGTAACTAGAGTTTCGGTAAGTGAATCTTAGGTCATATCAAAATTTTATATTCAGGGCAGAGAGTGTGAAAATTCTGAAAATTGTTGCATTTTTTGGTATATGTTTCGTTAAATTTTGAGACTCATTGACTCCCGAGAAGCAAGAATGAGACGCTTTCGAGAACAAAAACAGTAGAATATAAATGATTAGATGCATGTCTACACCTCTTATCCAACTAGTTGAGTTAGCCCCACTCACCAGTGTGGTGTTCGCGTGTTCCGGTGTAACTTCACGGATTCGATGTTGGTTACATTAAACCGCTACCTGTCTGGTAGATTCCGATCACACAGAAGAATTTTCGTCGGCTCAATCATAGGGGATCTACCATCAGGACTGAGAATTCGAGATCTACGAGAGGTAAGTGCCGTATAATAACAATACATTTCCTCTTCTGTTAAAAAAAGCTGCACAGTTACAGAAAATGCGAGACGTACTTTCTACTTCTCATAATTAAACACCCCAAATATAAATCGCTGTAGCCAAAAGTAAAATTTTTCGATCTAAAAAGGCTCCAGAACAATACATTTCCTCTTCTGTGACCTTACAGAACATGCTAGTTTGTACCCCCAAATCGCTGCGTAGTCACCGTTCGATTCATGAACAAACCGATGTTTGCTTCCTATTTATTTAAACAAGGACGACATGAACAATTTATTTGTTTATTTACTTACAAGGACTTGCTACAACAATATATATATATATATATATTATAGATAGATATATAGATAGATATCTAATAGTGGTAACATGGAATGTGCTAAGCTTCTATACGATGGAGTACCTTGTTACCTTCTGTTTGGCCGGTCGGCCCCTTGGGGCCTGACTCCCTGAGTCGTCACCCGAGGTCGCAGCAGCCACAAGGTAGCACGAATTTATGCCCGGCTAGCTTGAGCTACTCGAGCTACTTTTCAATCATGGTATAATCAAATTTCAGCATAAACATCAGTATAAGTCAAATTTTAGCATAGCCGACATCATGTGCTAAACAAGTACTATGTGTGACTTGGAAGTTTTGCCGATGAACGCACCCTTCCTTTTCATATTGCCGATTAACCGCAGACCTCTTAAATAAACTAGTACATGTGAAAGGAAACGAGAACGACGGGTGCGCTAGATTCGAGCTGGATCAAAAGCAGCGTGTGCATTCACCTTTACAACACCAAAAACTATTGATAGATCAGCAGCACAGGTACAGCACAGCTAGCGTGCAACTGCGAACTGCTTAGACGCGAAGCCTCCTCAGGATCGGCCGGAGACACAAAGCGCGTCCTTCCGAGCACTTTCTGATTAGATTAAGCAATCACGAGAATTGTAATTCTTTAACAAAATGGAGGCAAATCTAGTCTAGCAGAAAGTATCCAATGCTCTCGCTCGCTCAACAATCCATGAACTTACTGTGTTCAGAATTCAGATGAGTACAAATAATTAAATCTATCTTTTTGATCTTATCAAAAAACAAAAGAATCTTTGGTGGAAGCTGGCTGGCTGGGCATGCATGCACCTAGCTAGGCACTCCTTGCAATGCTGACAGGGAGAAGAAAAAAAAAACGGAGCAATGCATGTATGAACACTGCATAGCGATTGATCTTTAGAGGCCTAGCAGAAACTCCACAGCCTCATCAACTCGCCGTCGTCCTCGGGCTCCTCCCACGTCGACGAGAACGGCGCGGCGGCGCCGGTGTCCACCAGATCCATGAACTTGGGCGAGGCGAACGCCTCCAGGTACGTCCACAGCTCCTCTCCCTCGGGCGGCGAGCCGGTGCTGGCCGCGGCGGACGATGTCGTCGTCGCGTGCTGCTCCTGGTGGACGTGATCGGTGCTGCCCTGCGTCGACGACAGCGAGGCAGACGTCGGCATCGTTGCGCAGGCGCTGGAAGAGCACCTGTCGTCGGCGCTGGCGGTCATGCCGGCGTCGTCGATCGCCGCGGCAGCCGCGGCCGCGGCGCGCTGGATGGACCTCGGTGACATGCCGCCGCCGGCAGCCGGGTCGTCGTCCTTGTCAGCACGCCGGTGGGAGGAGGACGCGGACGAGGAGGGTGATGACGTGGGGAAGTTGAGGACGGCGTCGGAGCCCTTGAGGCAGAGCAGCGCGGCGTCGTAGGCGCGCGCCGCGGCCTCGGGCGTGGCGTAGGAGCCGAGCCAGATCCGGCGCTTCTGGTTGGGCGCCCTGATCTCCGACACCCACGACCCCCAGCTCCGCATCCGCACCCCCTTGTACGGCCTCGCCGCCGCCGCCTTGCCGCCTACGCCGCTCTCCGGCCTGGCTAGCTTGTTGTCGGAAAAGGCGGTCGCCGTGAGGACGCCATTGCTGCCTGGGTTCTTCACCATTATATATGTTGCCGTTCGCCGCGGCATCGCTCAGATCTTTCTCTGTTCGTGCCTGGGCGGGGAAGGGACTGAGGTTGACACGCTGATGCGTCATGCGTGAGCAAGTCGACTGCAATATATAGTGGCGTCGAGCTCGAGTGCGAAAGGCCGCCTGCGCAGTGTGCGCGCGCAAGCAAAGGGTCACACACACCCACACTGCTTAGCTGTGGTCCTGTGGAGAAAGGGTTGGGGTTACCGATTTGGAAGACGCGCGTGCTTAGGTGTCACGCCACCCTCCTTTTAACAAAGTGTGTACTTCTTCGATGCTCCGCTTTTCTAATCTAGTTAGATCGTTCACATACGAGCGGGGACAAATCTGTGCTGTACTAACTTCTTGGTTGAGTTCGTCGAACACACACGGTAGTAGTAAAAACATGCGGTGTAAAATACACGTTCGTTATTTTAGACACCATATCATCACGATAGTGAAAACAATACTTTGAACACCGATCATCATTATATTATTCTTTATTTATAATAAAATGCAGTAAAATCATGACATCGACTTGTTATTAAGAAAAAACAATACCGATGATATGGCCTGTTTCAGAAGATATCATTGTTCAAAGTTTAACCGAGGTAAAAAGGACGTGCAATGTCAGAATGAAATGTTTTTTTATTTATTAACTGGAGAGAGTACTTGGGGGTGGTAAGTTTTATAGGAGATCAATGACTGGTAAGTTTTATTTATTAACTGAAGAGACTAAATCTTACATATCTATGCTTTAAACTTTACAACAACAAACTTGCAGGGGTTCAATGATCACGTTACTAATCGGAGAGTACTTTTGAAGTATCCACGTTAGACACGATAGAAAAAAAGGATAAATCATAGATAATTTTACAAACATCAGAAACATCCATCCATCGATTCAATATACTCTAATCACGGTCGACAATAACGATGCGATTTTTTCAATTTTTTTAAAAAGAATTACCCACCCACCTTCATCATTATGAAAATACTTCAAAATAACCCCTTAAATCTATATACAATTTATTTATCTTTGTCATTATGAAAAATAACCTAAAGTCACTCCTTAATTTCTATCTAATTTACCCACCAATGCCATTGTAGAAAATAATAATAACTCCCTAAATTTGCATCTAAATTACTCATCTTCTCCATTGGGAAATATAAACTGAATTAATATCATATATGACATTATGAAAAACAATATAAATTAACCTCCTAAAATTGCATCTAAATTATTCTTCCCTGCCATAAGATAACCTAACCCTTTATATAACGCACCTAAATTACCTATATCTACCATTTATAGAAAGAAAAATCCTAAATTACTTTTATATGTGCTTCTAAGTTATCCACTTATGCCTATTTTAATATAGAAAACCTAACACAAAGTATACATTCATGACACATGGCATCATTCGCACCACATATACATTTATGCAAAAAAACGATGATCAGATTTATTTCCACATCAAATCTATATCTCAAGTTAATATGAGTTAAAAAATATATAGATTATTTTGTAACTAAAGTTTATTACAACTGGACATAGATAATACTAATTGTGTGTTAGAATATGAAAAAGTTATCAATTAAGAATATAAATATAAACAACTTTGTTTAGCTATTGGTCCTAAGTGTTAAAGTGTATCCATAAATTTCGAACAATTCTCTTTTAAAAAGTTATTAGCTTGTGCAGAGTATGGTTTGATAGATTAGTTAGAATTAATATAATTCATTGTCAGATAGACAATGAGATTTTTACACCTCTTTTTTTTCTAGCTATAACAGAATTGTAAGCTCAACGCGCGGTACAAATATATAACCCTTGCTTTACCTGTTGTGCCGACTTTGCCCTTTAGCAATTTAGGCCTTGTTTAAATTCAGGATGTAAAGTTTGGGGGTGTCACATGGGGGTGTCGTATGGAGTGTTTGGATACTAATAAAAAAATAAATTACAGAATCCGTCAGTAATCTACGAGACGAATTTATTAAGCCTAATTAATCCGTCGTTAGCACATGTGTGTATTGTAACACCACATTGTAAATCATGGACTAATTAGGCTTAAAAGATCCGTCTCGTAAATTAGTCGTAAACTATATAGTTAGTTATTTTTTTATCTATATTTAATACTTTATGTATGTGTCAACCATTCGATGAAATAGAAAGTAAAATTTAGGAAAGGAACTAAACAAGACCTTAGCTGCTCAGAAGCTACTCCTACGTGCCCACTGCCTAGCTAGTTCGTAGACATGGCATATGGGAGAATGGAGGAACGCAGCAAAGCCCACTGGAGTTTCAGGAATATTTTTCTGCCTGAGAAAGAAAAAGAAACGGAAACGATCACATGCACGCACTGCCAACTTCGCTGATGCTGTCGGAAACCAATAATAATAAAGCCATATTTACAAATCATAAAACTAGATCGATTAGCTGCCAGAAAGCAAAATACACTGTAGAAGGACAGAAAAATAAGCTTTCTCATTTTCGGCCCCTATATTTTTTATACAAAAGGTAGTGTCAGATCAGCAGCGGAATAAACGACGTCATAAATGACGTCGTTAGATTGTTACTCTCTCTGAAGTCTGACTGTGGTGAGTGGTGACCCATGGTCATGATTTCTGAGGAAACCATTTATTTAGGAGTAATTTCTCAACTGTCTACGTACGCTTTAATTGCAGCTCTAGCCTACAATGTGTAGGTCCCAGGTTACATCCAAGATGAAGAACTCGTCAACCTATCGTCACATCCAAGCAAGTTCAGACCCGGCCGGTCCCATCGAGCTCCCACCACGGAACAACGGCTCTGTTCGTTTCTCTTATAATCCGTACTTTTTAGCTTATTTTTTAGCTGAAATAGTGTTTTTCTCTCATAATAAATCAGTCGGAACAATACTTCGATTTGTTTTTTTCAGCGAAGCAAACGGGACCTATGTGTAGTACTCCGTAGGTCCCAGCAGGTTGAAGGCTGACACCGCAATGATCGATTATCCACGGCAAGTGATCATGCCATAATTTGCTAGCATCCCCCTCCCGATCGATCCAGGACCAGGAACAACGAGGATATGATGGCGAGCTTGTCGTGTGGGATATGATGATGCATCCAGGGTTTAGTGTTGATAATAATGCCAAAAACCAGATGCAAGATGACCACAGGATCGGAAATAAACGTGGGTTGGGTACTCATATATAACATACATACAGTACAAAACAAGCGACCGTGATGCATCCATGACACGGGATAATTTGCCGCCGGATCCGCAGGCCGCAGTTCTTGGTTTCGCACTTTCGAGTGCATGCAGATCCACTGGTGCGCCCCGGCCGCTGCTTGTGTCAGTGCGTCACGGCTTGACGCACGGCGGCATCTCCCTTTCTTCTTCATCAGTGATCAGTAGTAGTTCAGTACCAGTGGGCGGCTCGGCAATGCCATCGATTTGTTTCCGACCACCGACCCACCCATCATTGCAGGATCGAGCCACCGAAAACGTACACCTGTGTAGGGGCTCAGTATGCGTACACCCTGTGTTTCTTCGCACCGGGGAGAAAGGATTAGCCCTGGTTTAGTTGGTTTAGTCGGGTGAATTTGGATTTTGGGGCTACTGTAGCACGTTCGCTTTTATTTGGTAAATAGTGTTCAAACATGGATTAATTATGCTCAAAACGTTTGTCTCGCAATTTCCCACCAAACTGTGCAATTAGTTTTTATTTTCGTCTACCTTTAATGTTCTATGCATGAGTCACAAACATTCGATGTGACAGGTACTGTAGCAACTTTTTGGACTTTGGATCCAACTAAACAAGGCGTTAATTGATTTCAAAGGAGCGATCAAGAGCGCGTACGTTGGTAATGGGGCCGGGTATATATAGCTAGCTAGGATAGGCTAGCTAGCCGGGCACTTTACCTCACGTTTGCACATGGACACGGTTCGATGGAGCGTGCTGCGCTGCAGGCATATGCATGGGCACCACGGTGGCTCCTTGCATGCCTTGCCGCGGAAGGAAGCGGGGCGCTGTGCTAGCTTGTTGGAGTAGGAGTTCATATCCTCCGGCGAGCTCCCTTTATTTTGCCTTTCTCCGATCCGTGCCAAGGAAAGCCAAGCGCAAGCGGAAGCCTGCTGCTCCAGCCCCAGCCTCCAGGGAAAGCGAGCGCTCCATCAGTCCATCATCTGCCAGCAGGCGCAAGCTTCCTTCGCGGAGGGTTTGTCACTTTCTTTGACAGGGCAGCTAACCAGCGTCAGCCTAGCTACTGCAGGCCAGACTGTCCGTCCAGAGCATCTGCATGTCGCGCCGCGCTCGGGCTGGGCTTTGTGAACTGGCGTCGTGCCTCGGCCACGTGCGCTTAGCTACGCGCTACCGCATCGTGGGCTTGCTCGGCCTTTCGCCTTTACGTGGGCCCCACGGTGTATGGGCCTTAGGAACATACGGAGCGCACTTTAGGCCCAGTGCTCGCGCCACGAAGGCCCGACCCATGTATGAGTCCCAACCGTTTCTCAAAAAAAAAAGTACTCCAACGCTGCACTATTAGAGACTATATATACAATCTGATTCCTGATCAGAAGCAGTACACAAAGGGAACCCGTGTTCTGAAGTGCGTGCAGTGCAGTGCAGAGCGAGTTTTCTGTGGCATGTGAAATCCGAGGATCCACTGACCAGACGGTCGTGTCTCGGCAAAACAAAACAAGCTGATGGCTCGGCTCGACTCAGTCTCTCACATGATCGCCTAGTTACTCCCGTCAACCGTAGCCCCCCCCGAAAAACCTATTGTACATTCACCATTCAGGCCCTGTTCGCTTGTCTGAAAAAAGAAATCAAAACACTGTAGCGGCTGGTTGTGTGAGAGAGAAATACTGTACCGGCTAGTTGGGAGAAACCAGCCAGCCGAACGGCACCTCAGTATTCAGAAACCGACGACGAGCATGCCCTGTGACCTCAGCATGGACGGAGCTGCCTGGGACCCTGTCACTGTGTGAACAGGAAGGCGAGTTTGGTATCCGGACACTACTCGTGACTCATC